TGTCATTGGTGTTTTTGATTTTAGCCATTCTGACAGGAGTAAGATGGTATCTCCGAGTTGCTTTGATTTGCATTTCCCTGATGGCTAAGGATGTTGAACACTTTCTTCTGTGTCTTTCAGCCATTTTAGATTCCTCTATTGAGAATTGTCTATTTAGTTCTGTACCCCACTTTTTAATTGGATTGTTTGGTGTTTTCGAGAATAGCTTCTTGAGTTCTTTGTATATTTTGGAGATCAGTCCTCTGTTGGATGTGCGCTTGGTGAATATCTTTTCCCAATCCGTGGGCTTTCGTTTTGTCTTGTTGACTGTGTCCTTTGCCTTGTAGAAGTGTCTCAGTTTCAGGAGGTCCCATTTATTAATTGTGGATCTCAGTGTCTGTGCTACTGGTGTTATGTTCAGGAAGTGGTTTCCTGTACCAATTAATTCAAGGGTATTTTCCACTTTGTCTTCCAATAGATTCAGTGTGACTGGATTTATGTTGAGATCAATGATACATTTGGACTTAAATTTTGTGCATGGCAATAAACTTCTTTTTTACATTTGTTTTTTCAAGACAGGGTTTCTCTGTGTAGAAACCCTAGCTGTCCTGGAACTAGCTCTTGTAGACCAGGTTGGCCTTGAACTCACAGAGATCTGCTTGTCTCTGCCTCCCAATTCCTGGGATGAAAGGCATGAGCTAATAGCACCCAGCTGAAACTGGAAAATATTATAGTGAGTGAGGCATTGCAGATACATGCTCTCCCTTTGTGGAACTTAGCTCGGAGGCTTTAGATTTGAATATTTATCCTGATAACTGCAGAAGCCAGGAAGATAGAATGGGACCATGGAGGAAGAGGGAGAGCAGGAGAATCCTAGAGAGGAGGATATTGGGACACAGGTGCTATGAAGGGTGAATAGGAAAAACTGGGAGGGGAACCACTGTAGAAGACTTATTGAAACTAAATTACATTGGACCATAAGAGTTCCTTCAAGAGCAGTAGACCATCAAAAAAAAAAAAGGCTCAGAGAAACCTCACTTTGAGTTGTTGTCGGAAGTGTGCCAAAGAAATTTACCAAACAATATACACTATTTACACTATTGCCTTTACCCTTGGTTGCCTCCCAGAACTTGACAGTAAGACCCCATTACTAAAATCAACACACACTTTAGATGCAAGGAATCCACTGAAAATGGTCACAAAGCCTCCCCCATTAGGACAAATGAACATATAATCTGAAGGTGCTATCCGAGTTGACAAGAGGGAAAAGCAATCAATAATCCTACACAACTTTAAAAGGCAGAAAAAATAACCAGCCTGGCAAAATGCCCAAAATGACAAAAATAGTGTTAGTGTTATTTTAGATGGTAACCAACATTTGTCTAAATGAACATAAGGCCCTCTTAGAAGTAAACCTCTGCCTGGTACTGTAAATTTAGCCAACAACCTGGGACTGGAGATGTCATAGGTCCTCCAGGAGCACCAACTGCTGGTGCAACTATCCTATAACAATGTAATTCTTTTGTTTTCTCCATTTTTATTTAAATTAGAAACAAGATTATTTTTCATGTCAATACTAGTTCCTTCTCCCTCCCCTCCTCTCTTGCCTCCCCACTAACACCCTACATATCTTTCCCATACCATTTCTTCTCCCCAGGGAGGGTGAGGCTTTCCATGGGGGCGTCTTCAGAGTCTGTCATATCCTTTGGGATAGGGCCTAGGCCCTTGTGTCTAGTCTGAGGGAGTATACCTCTATGTGAAATGGGCTCCCAAAGTCCATTCGTATGCTAGGGATAAATACTTATCCACTACCAGAGGCCCAATAGATTTCTGAGGCCTCCTCACTGACACCCACATTCTTTTTTTTTCTTTTTTTTTTTTTGAGACAGGGTTTCTCTGTGTAGCTTTGGAGCCTACCCTGGCACTCACTCTGGAGACCCAGGCTGGCCTCGAAATCACAGAGATCTGCCTGCCTCATCCTCCTAAGTGCTGGGATTAAAGGCATGCACCACCAACACCCTCCCGGCGACACCCACATTCTTAATTCGTACTTGTATACTCACAAATAAGTACGGCTCTTACTCCTCAGTAATAAAACATCTTTCTTCAGTAGGTGGAGGCTACTACAGATCCACAACTATTCTTCTGCAAGGCCAAGCCCTTGATTGATTATCCAATCCCAAGTAATCAACTATAAACCCATGTATATAAGAGTAAGCATAAATAGGCTCAGGAGTGTGTGTGTGTGTGTGTGTGTGTGTAGCAATTATAATCATAGAAATGTTCATAAATTTGTAAGGATACAGGAGTAGGAGGGGAGAAAGTTAAGGGTAGAAATGATGTAAATATATTACTCATGTATGAAATTCTCAAAAACTAAATTTAAAGTTAAAAAGATGTCCAGTGAGTTCTCTCCCATTCACTGTGTGTGAGACTACACAAGGACATAAATATTGCATTATTTTTCTGGAATTTTTATTTCTCAGTTTCCAGAGTATCATCCTGGATAAGATTTCATTTATGTTAGATAATTCTCCAACTTGTTTATTATACATTGTAGTATAATTAATTCACTTAATGCCCTTTCAGCTCTTGTACCCATACATTGCACACCAATAGCAGGGTTTGAATCTATCATCTGACTTTCACTGATAACCCCCACAAGTTAGCACAATCAATAGCTCCAAGCACTGACACACAAGTTATCTTGTGTCAAGACAAGATAACATTTGAATGGCTAAACTTTTCTCTTTGAAGTAGTATCATATATGAATATTCTGAATATTTTTAAAATAATTCTGACATAATTATATTTGTAAATTTTTAAAGAATTACCTTTTTGTGTGTGGATTAATATTTGCAAGCATGCATGTATGTGTACCGTCTGCATGCTTGGTACTGATGGGAGTGTGAAGGTCTGTGATATCCCAGAAACGGGAGTTACAGCATGTTGTGAGCTGTAAACTGGATGCAGAGACTTGAACCCAAGTCCTCTGCAACACCATCAGTGCTCTTAACAACTAAGGTAATTTGTATAATTTTAGGGATAGTGAAGGACATTTTGAGCTGGGTGGTTGGTGGCACACAACTTTAATCCCAGCATTCGGGAGGCAGAGACAGATCTTTGAGTTCGAGTTCGAGGCCAGCCTGGTCTACAGAGGGAGCTCCAGGACAGCCTGGGCTACATAGAGAAACACTGTCTCAAAAAAAAAAAAAAAAACTGAGAGATAGGGAGAAAGAGATTTTGATAACACAGATTTTAAGTAGGTACTCCAATTAAAATATGTTATATAACATATAAGATGGAAGGTTAGGAAACAGATTACAAAGTTTTCAAAAGAATTCAGCATTGTTAAAATTACCTACACATACAAATAATGTTTCTTTTACTTTTTCATTAAAGGATTTATCTGTGTAGCCCTGACTGTCCTGAAATATTACTCTGTAGACCAGGCTGGACTCAAACTCAGAGAGCTGCCTGTCTCTGCTGCCCGAGTCCTAGAATTCAAGTCATGTGCCACCATGTCTGGCTACAAAAAATTTTTAAAAGATAACGAATTTAGCAGGCAATGGTGGCACACAACTTTAATACCAGCACTTGGGAGACAGAGGCAGGTAGATCTCTGTGAGTTCAAGACTTATCCTGGTTGACAGAGCAACTTCCAGGATAGGCTCCAAAGCTACACAGAGAAACTCTGTTTCCAAAAACAAAAAAAAAGAGAGAGAGAGACAATGAATTTAGTTATGTGGGATAATTTTAAAGAACTTTTGTCACAGAGAGGGAATAAGGGTATTTATTTTAGGATGAGATGCGCAAGTTGACTTTACCCTAATAATGTACATATTCAATAGGGTAAAGTTATAAAATACAACATATAACTATGACTTTAAAAGATATCACACAGCTACATCTTTATAGGAAACATACAGTGACATTGTAGGAACCACTGATACAGCAAAAAATAAGCTGCTTCCAACTAGTAGAACAAGGCATACCTGTCAGCTGTCCAACAATTTGCAGTTAATTCTTTTGATATAATTATTTTCAAAAATATATTAAAAGAATATAATTGTTGTAAAAGAATGAATCACATATGTCTACAAAATAATATTCACATAAACTAAAATATACAATTGTGCAGTGTATTATCAATTAATTTACATCCAATATGTACCTGCAATCATTATTATCTATAGTTGAGAATTCATTGATAAAACTTTGCAGTTCTATAATTTTAGGTACCAGATAATCTCGTAAAATCTACTTCCCAATGATGATGTAAATACAAGGAAGCTCTATGGAATTTCTTTTCACTGCACTAAATTTTATAAATTATTGAACATATATTCACTATTGTTGATAAATAGTATTCTGAGCTCTAAATATAGACATGACAAATTTTGTTGCTGAATGTTTTAACTTATAGCTCCATCCTTCAATACCATTTTTATACTCAATTCCACTTTTCTTTTCCAGTTATTCAATAGTACATTTCTTCTCTGGAATGCATTCCATCATGAAACACGGTTTTATTTTTATCAATCTAACAATGTTGTTTAGGGTGGTAAAAAGTCAAAAACCTTATTAACTTCCAGGTCCAGAGGGGTAAACTATTCATTCCTGCAAATTGCTAGTTTTGTCTGCCAACAACAATTAGAGTTGTGACTCAGCAAATGTGTCTCAGGATGTCATAGTAAAACTACAAATTCACATCTGCAAATTTGGAAAGGACAAAGAATATAGTTATTTTGAAAAGCTAAGAGCTCAAGTAAAATAGAGGATATTATTTGTAGACAAGGTGCTCATGAGTTGTGCTACCACAACTTCCCTGACCCATATGAAAGAAACCAACAGGGCATCAGACACAAAATTCAAAGCTGGAGGTCCTCAGTACAGGGTACCGACCTTCCAGTGAAATGGCAGAGTTCTGGCCAGTACTTAGGAGCTATTTCTTTTCTGTTGATGTTGTCATCTTAATTTTCATATAATGTGAGGGGTAAATATCTGAAAATTTGTACAATTATTCTTTCCTTACTACTCTTCTAAAGGCACCAATAACCTCTTTGTTCCTCAGGCTGTAAACAAATGGATTGAGCAGGGGAATTATTACTGTGTAAAATAAAGAAAGCATCTTCTCTTTGTCTCCCACTGGTCCAGACCCAGGGCAAACATATATGAGAAAAAGAGTTCCATAGAACAAGGAGACCGAGAGCAGGTGGGCACTGCAGGTGGACAAGGCTTTGCTTCTGCCCTTCTCAGACTTCTTTTTCAGAATGGCAAAGAGGACACGGATATATGAGACCATGATGTTTATAAAGGTGAAGGCTTGTATAGAAATTGAAAAGATTAAAAGCACAAACATGTTAATGGAAGGATCAATGCAAGAAACATTGAAAAGTTGTAAAATTTCACAATAGTAATATTGTAGGATGTTGGATCTGCAGAAAGTCAGCCTCAGTAGCAAACCCACATGAATTGCCAAATGCAGAGCACCAAGTAAATATGTCACAGCTATAAACTGGATGCAAAGTCTATTTGACATCAGCACCGGATAAAGCAAGGGGTTGCATATGGCCACATAGCGGTCATAGGCCATCACAGTCAGGAGAAAACATTCTGTGGTTGCACTGGAGCCCATAAAATAAAATTGAGCAAAGCACTCAACAAGCGATATCTCATGATTTTTAGATAAAAAGTTGATAAGCATTTTTGGAGTCACTGAGGATGAAGTACATGAGTCAGCAAAGGCTAAACTGCTGAGAAATAAATACATAGGGGTGTGAAGGTGAGGGTCCTTCCAGATGAGAGCAATCAGTCCGAGATTGCCCACCATGGTGATGAGGTAAATGACAAGGAACAGTAGGAACAAGACAACCTTCAGCGTGGGATGATTTGTGAGTCCCGTGAGGATAAACTCAGTCACCACAGTGTGGTTTTCTTCTGTCATGTCTTACCTTGGCAATCACTAAAATGAAAGAATCAGTAAATACAGAGTTCCAACAATATAAAATTGGTGATATCCTTGTTACTAGTGTATTTCAAATGGATGTTTCTCATGCCAGGACTTTAAAAAAATCCGTCTTTGTCTTCTTTAATACACATTGGAAATTCTGCATAACAAAACATTAACACACCTAAAGTAATATGTGCATTTAGTAGAAATCCTTTTAGATTTTTCTTGGGGAGGGGCTTCTCTGTGTAACTACCCTAGTTGTTTTGGAGCTCACTTTATAAACCAAGCTGGCCTTGAACTCACAGAGATCTGCTTGCCTCTGCCTCCCAAATGCTGGGATTAAAAGAATGAGCTGCCACCACCCAGGTGTGAAAAATCCTTAAAACCTTATAACACAGTATGTGTTTTCAGTATTTAGAAATACATAACTTGTTAAAAACACATTTTCAAAAAACAGATTGTTATATCAGGAGTATAAACAGTAAGATTAGTTGAGTGTATCTTAGTTGATATTGAACTGTAGTTTAAAGAGTTAATAATCAAGATACTCAGATATCGCACCTTAGAGAAGTGGGTAAGGAATTAGAAAATATTCTAACATGAAGGCAATAAAACATAAGCAAATATGTGTCTTCATACAGTAGGAAAGGATAACTGATGTAGTAGATTATGTTATCACTATAAGATATTCATCTGGAAATATATAGAATGAAATTCCTACTGTATACTAAGCATATAGCCAACAGATAATGAACACACCTCCTCATTTATGCAATTATCATAAATTAAAATACATCAAGGCACTCACTGAACACTGAAGTGAGGAAATTCATACTTTCCTATATTACTTATGGAGTAATAATTGCAACTTTATGAAATTCAATTTATTTGAATAAAATACACTCACAAGTCAATCTACCATACTTTTAGTTATACTTTAGAAATCTAAGCACAACTATATAAAAACAGATATACAAAGAATATGCAATTTATTTCTGGCCAAGGAAAAAGGAAAGAAACAGGTGTATATGTCATGGTACATTAATAAAAATCAGCCACAAAAAGAGCTATTATCAATTATATTGAGAATTACCACCATGAGTATTTTCTCAGAAGACCAAAACACACAGAAATAAAAATTTTCTATGATCAAACTGTCACGAAATAAGCTATGATTTAAAAATATCCTCTTAACATCAAAAATATGGATAAAATACAATAAATTTATAATACTGACTTTTATGGTATACAAGTTGAGGCTTGGATGAGAGGAGAGGTGAGAAAGAAGGATATGTCAACAAGGAGTTTCATAAGAACAAACTCACATAAATGATATTTTATACAAAATTGCATCTATGTGTGTATTCACATCTATATGCTTATATTAAGCTGTGGGTGAAAGAACTGTCTCAAACATGTTAATAGTTTATAAATGTCAAAATAATGAAGTCCTATTACTGTCGTTTTAAGGAGATATTTTGTAATAATTTAAATTTTATGCATTAAATTAAATATAGAAATAACCTTCAGGAAATTGTCATATTACTTTACATATTATAGGTTAGCAAATGTTCAGCATTGTGAACAGATATGTGTTTGTAATACCCAAGACTTACCTATGATTGTATATGTAGGGATTCTAGGAGAAAGATTTTTGGCTGTCTTTTAATTTCAACAATGTTCTTATTAAGATGTTCCTTGTGTGAGCCCTGTGTGCATCTGCTTAGAATATAAAACTCATATTTTTTTAAAATTGTACAAATAAGACATTTGACATTTTGTAGTCTCGGAAAGAACTTAAAAAAGTTTTATATGAAAATAAAAGCAAAAATTGTTATCCTATATCAAATATTAAAACATGCATGTGTGCTTAAAGGTCCAGAAATTTGCTTTCATATATCTTTAAAATAAAACAAGTTTTCTTCTAATAATTGAATATCCATGTAAGGAATGATTTTTGAGCTGTTGTGCTGTTTTACAGAAAATAAGTGAAACATTTTACAATTTTTACTTTTAAATACATACAGAGAACTAAGCATACAATAGGACAAAATATAAGACAAAAATTCCACCCTAAGATATTTGGCCAGATATAATTTTTTCAACTGTCCTCAGTTATAGCAATGTGTACTTTAGCTTAGAACTAATAATTTTAACTTAACAGTTAAAATAATAATGTAATAATAATTATTTAACTTAATAGTTACATGATACTCTAGGAGTAAGCAGAGTCTGTGGCTGTTGCTTTCTCTAGATTTCTTACGATTCTATGAGTTTGAAGAAACTTTATTTCGCTCAACCACAACCACTTAAGACAGAATTTCTCATTCAGAAATACTACAAATAAATGAAATTTGCAGCATAATCATGCCTCAATTAAGAAAACCTTTCACACTACAAAATATCATCTGAATACATTGAATTTTTGTTATATTATTCAATTTTTGCCTTCATTTTCTGAATCAGTGGGAACATTATCAACAATGGATTTACTGATGCAGTACAATCCCAATTGATATGTAGTTTTATACTGCCATTTGAATGTGTCTGTCTCCATTTTAGTTGCTGATTCCTATAAAATCTTCTAGAAATTTTTAATTCCTTATGAAAATATTTTGTACAAATCACAGAGGTGCAATAAACAATAATCTGAAAGTCTGATTTCTCACCCAATTCCTGTGAAACACTGGACAACTTGAAAAGTGCTCATATCTGGATCTTATGTTAAATATATGGGAAAACTGGTACAATCTGTGAGCTAGGCTCCCCCTGAAAACACCAAAAATAAACAGACTTAGCCTCTTTTCTTACATTGCAAACAGATTCTTTAAATCATCTTCAAATTTTAAGCTACCAAGTCATTCCCAGCAGGATAAAGTCAAAGTTGTTCCATTGGGCATTGAGAACAAATCATCATATCATACACATAACTAGTTACAAAAATTAAAATGTGTTGTGTCCTCAGAGTTCCATAAGGGAGACTGATTCAAAAAAAATCACTGAGTCAAAACTTAGAATATGTTTATTTTCATTCCTCTTGGTCACAGCTAGCTAATTAACTTGATAATCATTGGAAGTCCCAAAGATAATTTAGAGAAAGCACTCCAAATTAAATGAACATCTTTCCATACTTTTCCTCCAACACTGATGAACTTCCAGTATTCTGAGACTGGAAACAGGGCCACCAAACAAATAGATATGCAAGCCACAAACAAGGAACACATACTAGACATCCTCTAAAACTAACTCTGCTGTTTCAATAATGGCCAAGCAATCTTGGCTTGAATTCTTTTATACCTAGATCTTTCTATCATCATATTCACCTCAGAAACATTGCAATAATTTTTACTTCCCAGACAAATACATAATTCCTTAGGGAGAGAGTCAGTTTCCTTAGTTTTCTTTAAGTATGTGGTTCCTGGTAGGTTGACCACCCTCTAGTTAATAGAGTCTAGTAGATGGTCCCACCTTCATAAGTGTGTGGACTACACAGTTTAAGGTCCATGAGTTATTAAAGAATTTTTAAGGGATACAAAGTTGCAGGGGTGGGAACACGGGTATGAAGTAGGGAGGAGTTAGGATTAGAAATTAGTATTATTAAAATATGGTAAATGGGATTAAGCATTGGGCACCAGGTGGACTGAAATGGGTGCAGACTGGCAGACCCAGGCTGTATAGAGGACTCCCAGGAGAAGAAAAGGGACTGTGCAGGGACACAGAATGAGCAGTGGCAGGTTGAGCCCTGAAGCAGAGTCTATGTCACCCATGGAATCCCCTCTCCCCCATCCGAGTTCCTAGGCTCCTTCAAAGACACTCAGAAGCCAGAGGGCAGTCATTCAAACATAGGACACACAGCAGTATTCGAACCAAATGAAGTAACACATGATGACAAAACAGAATACAAGCAACTCACGCAAGATGGAAACAGAAAGTTCTCTCTATACTCCCCAGAGTGGCTCCATGATGTGTGAATGGAAGTCAGAGGACAATTTATGGACATCAGTGGAGAACTTATTAATGTACCTTTTAATACAATTCACCTATGTTCATAGAAGGAATTACTTTTGTACCCTTAATTGCAAGGAATAGATTTATTAGAGTTTGCATACACAGGTTGGTCCCGAATCTATGATAATTCCCCTTAATGATTTCTTCTTTACCATGAAACAAACATGAAATGCATTCAAAGGAAACTGTACTTTCAATTTTGAATCATGACCTTTTCCTGGATTAGTGGTGTGAGGTGTGGTACTCTTCAGGTTCTGGGCAGCAGTGGCAAGCTGACGTCAGCCACAGAACCATGATAAAAAGCAATCTGTAGACCCATTGTGCTGTGTTGCTACTCTGTGGTGGTAAGTAGACATTTGTCTTAGGGTAGTTTCAATTTATGAGGGGCTTCCAGAGACATAACTCCCATTGTAAGTTGAGAAGCATCTTAGTTTAAGATGTGTTAAATTTGCTTATGCTGAGGAATATTTGCTTAATGATGCAAAGATGTGTTTCATTCTTTTATGTTGCATTTGTTTAACTCTGTAAAGCTGAGTTACTTTGCCTTCCTAAAATACCTGGTCTAACAAAGAGCTGAAAGCTTAACATCAAGGCAGGAGAGAGAAATAGAATAGGCAGGGCTGGTGGGCAGAGAGAATAAATAGGAGGAGAAATCTAGGAAATAAAGGGAGGAGCTAGAAAAGGAGGAGAGGAGGACACCAGTGGCCAGCCAAACAGCCACACAGCCAGCAACAGGGTAAGAAGGAAAAAAAAAGACATATAGAATAGAGAGAGGTTTAAAAAAAAAAGCCCAGAAGCAAAGTGTAGTTAAAGAGAAATGGGATAATTTAAGTAGAAAAGCTGGCTAGAAACAAGCCAACCTAAGTCCAGGCATTCATAAGTAAGAATAAGTATCTGTGTATTTATTTGGGAACTGGATGGTGGGCCCCCAGAAGTTAAAAAATGCAACTGCAAGCATCTGTGTCTTTAAAGGTGTGATTGACAATGCCAAACTGCCATTTAAAGAAGAAGTCCCATTAATGTCATGATTGCTGAGGTTGATCCAGAAGCACACAGCTGTTATTAGCCCCTTTTTTGGTATATGAGTGTGTGCATGCATGAGAGAAAAAGAGACAGAAGTAAAGAGACACAGCCAGAGCGTGTGTACATGTGTAGAGGCCAGAGGAGTTGGTTTTCTCCTTCTACAAAGTGGGTCCCAGGGATAGATTTTAGGTTGTCAGGATTGGTGGTACCTTTACCTGCTGAGCCACCTTGTGGGCCCATCTACCTTTTAAAATAATGTTGTATAGCTGCACAATGCTCAGAAAGTCACAAAATTTACATCTCCACAATAGTAATTAAACATGCCATTAAGATTAATAAAAACACTAATCTTTGAAGGATGCCATGGAATAACCTTGCTACCTTAACTAACTTAATCATGTCTGTGGCTGATGGTATTTTCCCCAGGGAACTGGTTCTCTCCAGGCATTCTCTTTTTGTAAAGACAGGATCTCAGCATGTAGCCTGGCTGGCCTTGGAACCTACCATATAGACCAGGCTGGGCCAGAACTCACGGAGATCCTTCTGTTTGTGCCTCCCATGAGCTGGGACTACAGGTGTGTGCCATGCTTATCAAGGCCTGATGAGGCCTACAAAATATTTAGTTTTGCTTGTGTGTTTTAATTAAGTTATGGGTTACTTGTATGTTACTTTCTAACAACTGTGAATATCTTTCTTTCCCTTAGATAGCCTTCTCTAATGTCCCATTCCAGAAGAGGGATGCCTGGTCAATGATGGTGAACATTTTTATGACTGATAGGCTTCTTAAGGGACAAAACAATGTGTAGCATTTGGTAGTGTTAATAAAAATTCTCTTTTGCTAATTTTATAGTAAAAAAATAAAATAAAATACCTGACATGAGATTCTCAAAGAATTAAGGAAATATTTATTTTTTAAAAATATCAGTTTACATTGCTAATGTTATAATGTGGATCCAATTCTACTACACATAAGATTTTGCCAATCTGTGCCTTCTGGGTAGTATCAGACAGTGCTGTGGTTTACATTTCTGACAAGATGAAGAATTATCCTCCACTTTCTAAATAGAATCAAAGACTATTAAGAAAATGATCTATTAAGGTAGGCACAGCCTGGCAAAAGGGAAAAAAACACAATATAGATTAACAAGGTAGGCATAGACTGAAGTCAATACACCCCTTTGTGCTCTTTAGAGGATATACCACTTTCCTTTCTCTTATGTCTCTTCAAGATGCTGTGTTCCAACAACATATTAATCTGCTCTGAAATGTCAACCATTTACCAAAATCAAATGTCTAAATACAAATTCAATGGTCCCAATCTTAACCCTCCATTGCCTCTCTATGACATCATCATCTACCCAGCTTATTCTCATTCTGTGTCTAGTTGGCAAGAGTGAATTGCGTATAGTTATCATGTAAACTGTTATCCTTTTAATTTACAATGTGGGATGGCTGGACATAGTTAACTAAAATATACTTTAGATGGCCTTGAGTGTTATCTTTGATTCTTAACTCCTCAGAATTCCTAAAGCATTTCATGAACTATTGCTTTTACCTCTCTGTCTATTGAAAGTGTCTAATTCTCAAATTTTCAGAAGTCCCTGTCATCTCTTTGGTACATTAAAGTAAAATTTTGTAGTCTGTGTGTATTTTCCAACTTTCTCTGTGGAAGTTCTCCAGATCTAGGGCCAGGATCATCTTCACAAAATTCCAAACAACTGAGTTCACCACTGCTCTCACACCTGTTTCTGTGGCTCTTTCTGAATGCTCACACAGTTTCTAATAGCTCTGATCAGAAAGAGCGGGATCCTTAAGCTTTCTCCATCCTGAAACACAGCAAGAGTCCTCTATCCTGTCTTTACCCATGGATATATGATCATGAACATATGTGTGCATGTCTGTGTGCTTATAAAATAGGTTACAGCTAAGCTTTTCAAACATCTCTAATATTAGTTATCTCTCCCCCATCTCCTTGTTTTCTCTACCCTACACCCAAGCCCTTCCCTATCCAGATCTCTTCTTATTGTTTTCGATTCTCCTTCATGCTACCTGTGTTCTACTTTCCTGCCTCCCTTAAGATCTTTCTTTCCCACACTGCAGCAGCTCCTTATGTTTACATGTTTACCTTAGAATACCTATGGAAATTATTCTTAAGACCACACACACAAAATAGTTTTCACATACAGACATAAATACCTTGCATATGATATATAGATTTAAGTCATAAAAATGTCATGTATCTGATATTTGAATAAAACATTTAATAAAAGGAGTTGCACCCTCTATGGCTGCATTCTAAATGTAAGACATACAAATGTGACTGTGAATACTCACACATAATTTTTCTGGGGACATGATCATAGACAGACAGACAGACACACACACACACACACACACACACACACACACACACACAGTGGAGTTCTTAATATGTTGGTCAACTACTCCTGAACATATCCTGAAGAGGTGGTTACTAAGAGTGAAAAGACACTACAGTACAGGGTTCAAGCAGAGGGGTGTTTTATTAGGGAAAGGGATCATAAAAAGGGGAAAGGGAAGGAGGAGACAGAAGCAACTGGAGAGATGGGAGAGGAAAAAGGGGGAGAGAGAGGTAAGGAGAGAGAGAAAGGAACAGAGAGAGGGAGAAAAAGAAGGATTGAATTGGGCAGGGCTATGTTAAAAGGGCACTTAGTGAATATGCACAGGTGGTGCTCTTAGTGGCTACAGCTGAGGGTGTATCCTGTCAGAACCCCAAGGACAGATCAGTACAGATGCCTGAATACTAGCAGATATGCCCAGTATCATTCTACTGAAGAAAACTGACTTCCCCTCTCCTAGCAGGCATAAGTGGCAGTTCAGTTGTTAACTTTATTTAGTGGCTAGGTTTTCATTCACTCAATTTTAAATATAACAAAATAAAATATGACAAAACAAAACCTGTCACAACAAACTCAAACAAGACAAGACAAACAGAAGGAAAAGAGTCCAAGAGAAGGCATGTTCTTTGCAAACTCCAGAATCCCATAAAAACAGTAAACTGGAAGTCAAAACAAACACACGGAGGACCTGGTGCAGACTCAAGCAGGCACTTTCCATGACGCTTTATTCTCTGTGTTTACGTGAGCCTGGTTCACGTTAGTTGGGAGGGCCTTGTTTTCTTATTTTCCATGCCCTCTTGCTCTTACACTCTTTCTGCCTCGTGTTCCATGGGACTCTCTGAACTCTGAAGGAGAGGTTTAATGGAGACCTCTCATTTAGGTCTCAATATTCCAAAATCTCACTCTTTGTGTAATGCTGGCTGTAGGTCTCTGTACTTGTTCCTATCTGTTTTTCCCTCTCCAGCAGGTATAAAGTAACAGTTAGCTGTTAACTTTTACCCTAGTGGCTAGGTATTTATTCATTTTTTTCAGTTAATGTTTCTCATTATTAATCAGTAAAAATGTCAGTGGCTGCTTATAATTGTGGAAGTTCCCAGGAAATAGCTAGTTTACAAAAATAAAAATGCTGATATATAATAGATATATATTATATAATACATATATTATATAATATAATATACAACTACAAGGTGGTTGTAGACAATGTTACCTCTCCAGCACTAGACTCATGCAGGAAATGTCCACGCAGCACTAGACCCAAACATGAAACTGTGCCTTCATACTGAACTCACAAAACATCCTGAATAACAGCTAAAGGGCAGAGTAGTGGCTCATACAGTGAACTTGGGGGGGGAGTGTTTTTGTGTTGCTTTGTTCTGATTATATGATACCAAAACAAACAAACCACTTGAAACTTGCAACAGCTGTTTATTTTGTATTTTCCCCTGACTTTTTTATTATTTTTTTTTCATTTATTTTACATACCAACCACAGTTTCCCTTCCCTCCTCTCTTCCCATTTCCTCCCATCCACACACTCCCCCCCCCCAATCCACTATTTAGAAAGAAGCAAGCCTCCCATGGAGTCATCAAAGCGTGGCATATCAAGTTGAGGCAGGACCAAGCTTATCCCACTGGATCAAGACTGGGCAAGGCATCCCAGGAATGGGTTCCAAAAAGCCAGCTCATGCACCAGGGACGGGTCCTGATCCCACTGCTAGGCCCCACAGACAGGCCAAGCTACACAACTGTCACCTACATGCAGAGGGCCTAGCTCGGTCCCATGCAGATTCCCTAGCTATGGGTCCAGAGACCATGAGTTCCCACTAACTCGGGTCAGCTGTGTTTATTTCTTTATTAGTCTTCTCAGGGCTCCTAGAACCTCTTTATTCCTCAGACTATAAATAAATGGATTTAGCAAGGGGATTATTATTGTGTAAAATAAAGAATATAGTTTTTCTTTATCTTCAGCCGGCCCAGACCCAGGATGGATATAAATGAGGAAGAGATTTCCATAGAACAGAGAGACAGAGAGCAGATGGGCACTGCAGGTGGAGAAAGCTTTGCTTCTGCCCTTCTCGGACTTCTTTCTCAGGATGGCGAAGAGCACACGGGTGTAAGAGACGACAATATTTACAAACGTGAATGCTTGTATGTATAAAGATTGAACAGATGAAAAGCACCAGCATGTTAAGTGTAGGATCAGTGCAAGAAATTGTGAATAATTGTACAATTTCACAGTAGAAATAATGTATAACATTGGACCTGCAGAAAGTTTATCTCGTTAACGACCCCACATGAATTGTTGAATTCAGAATACCTATAAAATGTGTAACAACTATAAACTGAGCACAGAGCTTGTTGGACATCACCACGGGATAGAGCAGGGGGTTGCATATGGCGACATAGCGGTCGTAGGCCATCACCAGCAGGAGGAAATATTCTGTGGTCGCACTGGAGCAAAAAAAGTAAAACTGGGCGAAGCACTCAATCAGAGATATCTCGCCATCTGTAGACAGAAAATTGACAAGCATCTTGGGGGTCACAGAAGAAGAAGTGCAGGCATCGGCAAAAGCTAAACTGCTGAGGAATAAGTACATGGGAGTTGTATGAAGGTGAGGGTCCTTCCAGATGAGAGCAATCAGGCCAAGGTTGCCCACCATGGTGATGAGGTAGACGATGAAGAACAGAAGGAAGAGTGGCACCTGCAACTCAGGACGCTCGGTGAGTCCTGTGAGGACAAACTCAGTCACCAGAGTCTGGTTTCTTTCTGCCATATCTGACCCGGACAGTCACTAAGACAAAAAGGTGAGAAACAAGCAGATAGAATTGTAAGATGGTGGGCATTTTGTGTTACTAATATATTCCTAGGTAGTGCTTCTCTACTAGTTTTAAATAGTTTCTTTGACTTCCTCACTTGAATATTTACTTATAGTTTCTTATAGTTAAGTTTCTTATAGTTAAGAAGTAAACACAAAGTGACATGTAAATTTAATGCAAATACTTTACTTTTCAGTCTAGCAAAGTTTTCTACACCTGCCTGTAGTCATCTTAAAGTTCATATGAAAAATTAGTTAATATTAGATAATATAAGGAGTAAGAGCAGTCAAGCATTGTTAATAGTGAACTAAGTTGAAGGCTAAAGGAGCAAAACATTAGGACAAGAGAGTAAGTGGACAGAAAGGAGAGATTAAAAATAAATTCTAGTGTGTATATGGTTGATATGAAACAATAAAAATTTTAGATTCAATCTGGAAGGAATGGCTGTACCTACCAGCTATGTGTTTGGAAATAATAAACTGTAACATGAATAATAAAAACCCATAGACAGATATTGGGGTTCACGCTGAAGATCAGAAAAGCAAAGCAGCCAAGCCACTAGAGAGTTCTAACCTCTACCAATGCTCAGACCCAAGTGGGGTAGGGTGATCCTGTCCCCCAGTGGGACTGCACACTGCAATACTCTACATCAAACCTCAGACTTCCCAGGGACTGCACTGAGCTCCTGCCATATATTCCTCTCTACTGATGGGATTAGAGGTGTGTCACCCCAAGTGCTGGGATCAAAGGTGTGAGCTCTGTTTCTAATTTAGACAGATTAATTATCATGTAGCCCAGGGTAACCTTAAACTCACAGAGATCCATCTGCCTGTCTCTAGAGTGCTGGGATTAAAAGTATGGCCACCACTGCCTGTCTTCTATGGCTAACTAGTGGCTTAGTTGTGTATGTGGCTAACTAGTGGCTTAGCTCTGCATTCTGATCTTCAGGGAAGCTTTATTTGTTAGATTACAAACAAAATATCACTACAGTAAACTAGACTTCACCCTCACACCATGGAACACAAAATTTAGAAAGCAACACCTAGCAAAGAAAGGGTAGTTTAGCTCTATTATCCAAAAATAGAAACTCAGCATCAAACAAACAACAGCAACAACAAACAGTATCTTAAAGACAAAGAACATACCCTAGAAATAAAAGCTTAAATACACAAGGACTAATGTATCTATCTGTATTTATCTTTTTCTTTATATGTGACGCATCATTATTTGTGAGTGTGAGAGAGAGAGAGTGTGTGTGTGTGTGTGTGTGTGTGTGTGTGTGTGTGTATGTAATATGTAATGCACTATTTTTCAAGGTGGGAAGGAACCCGCATATCCAGGATGAAGAAATAGGAGAAAATATGGTACATTCATAATATACACTAAAATTTGGTGATGAAAGAGGAAATGGCAACAAAGTTGGAAATAGCCAGGAAGTATCAAATCTTAAGAGTAACATATAAACAAATGAAAATAATTACAATCTCATTATTGTCATACAGTCAATAATTTTTTCTAAAAACAAACATTTAAAAATATATATTTACATGTTGTTAAACAATGCTAAATACATTAATGTCTTTGGGTGTGCAATTGTTTTATTTTGTGAGGGGACATACAAGAAAGAAAAGGGGGAGTGGAGAAGACACAAGCAATAAATACAAGTGAGAGTTCCAGCAGGAAAGATTCCCATAAAGCCTGAATCATTTCATAAACAACAAAGAAATAGGTTTGCATGCATGTGTATACCTGTATTATATACAGATATCTGAAAGGATGGCTTTTACACGTTAATATTATAGAATAGCGGCAGAAACAAAAGAAAAGTGACTTCATGTTGCTGCTTTTTGTAGGCATATTTCTGCACTGAAAAATCCCAGTGTAAACTAGTAGCTCTTCATCTTTGATTTTGCAACTAAAACTCTTCCAAGTTCAGAAATTACCCTCAGGAAAAGAAACATATTTGCTTACCATTAGTTCTGAAGCTTCCTAATGCTGTGATCCTTTAATACAGTGTCTCGTGCTGTGATGACTCTCAACCTTATAATTTTTTCATTGTACTTCATAGCTGTAATTGTGCTTCTGTTATAAATCCTAATGTAAATATTTGTGTTTTCCTATGGTCTTAAGTGGGGTCACGATACACAGGTTGAGAACCACTGATTTAGCTATTTTAAGTGAGGAAACTTTTTAGCATAGAGCATAGATACCATCTCTAAAAACCTCAGACTTACCTTTAATTATATAAGGTAAAGAGTCAGTTATATTGGCAAAAAATGAAAGTTGTTATTTGTTCAACAATGTTCTGATAAAGCTTATTCCTGTGTTCTTTATTTCTGACCCTGTCATGAAAGGACATGTAATGCAAACATGAGTTGAGACATTTTCATGTTTGACAATTTCTGAAAGAATGTCCAATTTTTGGATGAATATTTTAAAGAAAAATAAATGCAAGAATATGTGCTATTATATTTCCATATGTTAAAAAGCATAATTTGATAAGAATGGTTAATACTTAAAAACAATAAAATTTTAGTTGTAGCAGTAGAAAACCTATGTTCACCTAATTTTAAAACATCAGCATGCAGAATGAATGTGTTCTGTCTAGCTGTTCTGTCTTCACTGAAAATGCAAGAATGGGAACAAGTTGGAATTCTTTTAAATATCTACCAAAAACTCTGTTATGCAAATGAGAACCAAATACTGTTTAAAATTATAACTTATTAGATACATATCCTCTAAGACTCAAGATTCTTCATATCCTCAAACTGCTGATATTTGCAGTTTCAGATCATGCAGAATTCATTTGAGGCAAATAGTAATAAGTTTTGTGAATTTGTGTATAAAATATACAAGGGGGAAATGAATCTCCTAGGTTTCACTACTCTATGAATTAATGCAAACTTCGCAACATTTCTGTCCCTTCCACCATGAAATATTAATGGAGCATCAACAAATGAGCATCAATTTCTATGCCTGGAGCTGTTATTGGATTTTAACAGAAAAAAATGCAACTTTATAAAAGTGAAAGTATCTCCATTCTCACCCAATCCCTGCAAAACATTGAAAACCTGGAAACATGCTCATTTTCTGGAAGAACCGTGCAAAGTACAGAATGAGGCAGTGTTATTTGTGTACATATTTTCCTCAAAACCTCCAACCTGGAGCAGGATAGCATTTCTTTCACCTACTGTCAACACACCCTTTTAATAATGTTGAAGTTCCCCCAGTATTTCTAAGAGACACCCAATGGGATGACATCAGCATTGTTCTACGGGGCACTGCCAACCATCATTAAATCATCCACACATAGCACAATTAAGAGTGTGCATGTGTCCTCGGATGCTCTGCAGGCGCTTGTTTAGTACTTTTGATGAACAGAGTTTACAGTGAGTTTGTTTTCCTTCCTGTTATTTTCCATAATTGATCACAATGGAAATTGCCTAATTAACTGTATTTTCATGTGAACAAATACCAAAGGCACTTGACATTTAACAAGTTCAAACCTAAGATGGTCTTTCTCTAACCCAATTCTAAGCCTAATTTTCTTTCCTCCTGTGTTCTTAGGAAACCAACTCTTCTAGATTTTATTAGCTGAAGACTATATTTTATACATAGATTTCTCTTCTTGTACATGATTAAGCCCAAAATTCAACTAAAAATTATTCATTATGTGCTTGGACTTACATAACCTCCTAGCATTCTTTCTGTCTTACAACGGAGCCATTAAATCCAATTTCTACACTGATTTAAGATAGCTACTTAAAAACTATTCCACCACCTTTCACCACTACTCCAAATGCAAACTCTCCTCTTAAGATATTTTATTCTCCTTGTTCCTAACATAAAAAAATAGTATTCTTAATTATTCTAGACCCCATACTGACAAATAGACATAATGATTTACTGAACACAGTTAAAAGCTTTTTGTCATCATATCTGTATATCATTTCCACTACACCATTAGTTGCTTCATAGTTCTTCCACAATATCTCAGTGGATTAAAAGAAGTTCAGTTATGGTTTATGTAAAGTGCAATGTTTGTGTTTCCAACTGGAGGAAAATTCAAGCCCATCACTTCAGACTCCTAAAGGGTTTGATTTAACCACTCAACCATTTATCCAACTTGGCATTCTACACTGTCTATTTTCACATATGGATAACACCAGAAGGAAATGCTTGACCATGTTTTTCTCACGTGAAATGAGTATTGGCTAGAAATTTAAGTGGCATATGTTACTCTCAATTAAAAGCTAAGCAATATAGCCATATGTAAGGATGTATTTCTAAAAGGGAAAATGTGGACACTAACCAGATAATAGCTTTTCTACTTTGTTTTCTCTTCCATCCCCCTGTTACCCTGTTGTCTCTCTTACAATATACTCTCAAGTCCTTATGTGTACAAAATACTAAATGCTCCAAGTAAAACTCTTCTCTCAAAAAATTCATTGGTGACCATTCTTTATTTAGATGCCAAATGAATATTTATGTCTCATGTTTTCATGATATTCCCCAAAGTACAATTTCTGTAGGATTTATTGTCATTATAAAGCATATGAATGTTTAAAAATATCCAAACTACATATCTGGGCCATTGAAAGGAAATGATAGACTTACATATTTCTGAAAAAAATGTTCACTGAATTTTATTTCCTTCTGGAGCAGAACTTAATAGTGACATACACTTCAGTATGCATGGCTGTGCATCTAGTGAGGATGAGGTGTTTCCAGTGCTCTCTGATGACTTGTATCAAAGGCTACGTCACCCTTATGAATAACTACATGCCTCACACCACATCCCGTACTGAAGTGTTCTAGCAGGTTTATATGTCTGACAGAAAAACACCGAGAGCCACTGGAAAATGCTATTGTATAGTGCACATTACATCACTATGCACAATAGGACAAATTCATGAGAATGAGACTGGGAAATCCTTCAGTTTTAATGAAGAAACTCTAAAGGACCCTGATTCAAGGTTAAGTGAGAGATCCTGTCTCAAAATAACTTAGTTGAAAATCAGAAAGCAGAAAAACTGATTTCTTCTGACCTCTCTCTCTCTCTCTCTCTCTCTCTCTCTCTCTGTCTCACACACACATATTCTGTGAGCAATAAGGATACATACCACATGGGGTAAGAGCTTCACTTAAAACCAAGATTTTCTCTACAGCAAATATGGAATCTACGTTTTCCTGTGATTATGACAAGATAAATTTACATTTACAACTTTTAACCATTAAATAAAATACATTAAAAGTAGTAGAACATATTTTGGAGAGCATAAATGTATTTTAAACAGAGGATTACTACAAATATAGGGTTTCTTTTGGGAATAGAAATTCAAATGACTATTAAAATTAATATTTCTGTAAACACTGGAGTTTCTTTATGTCACAAGCTCTGAACAAGGAGACTTAATTTTGTGAGTTAATTTTAACCTATCTGCATGGATTTAAAATAACAAATAGTTGAGATCTGTCTTTAAAGTGTGCATTAACGGTTTATAAGTCCATAATATTTCTATGACAATCACAGAGACTAAAGATTGCATTTCATTATTTAGCAGTATATGAGCTTAATATATGTGATAATACAAGATTAGAAATTTGATGTATTTCAAAAGTAAACACCAATTTTTTTTTGGAAAATAATTAGGGTTTTACAAATTTTCTCAGAGCACCTAAAACTTCCTTGTTTCTTAAGCTATAAATAAAGGGGTTTAGCAGAGGAATCACGATGGTGTAGAACAGTGAATAAATTTTATCCTTATATTTACTTGGTCCAGACCCAGGGCTCACATACATAAAGAAGAGAGTGCCATAGAACAAAGAGACAGAGAGCAGATGGGCACTGCAGGTGGAGAAAGCCTTGTTTCTGCCCCCCTCCGACTTTGTTTTCAGGATGGAAAAGAGGACACAGGCATAGGAGACTATGATACTCATGAAGGTAATAGCTTGTATGACAGCAGCAAATATGAAGACCAGTAATGCATTAATAGATGGGTCAGTGCAAGAGATTGTATAGAGTGGCAAGATCTCACAGTAGAAATGATCTATTACATTGGATCTGCAAAATGTTAATCTAAATAATAATCCTACATGGATAAGTGGATGAAGAAAACCAATTATATATGAAACACTTATCAGGCAAGTGCACATTCTGTTGGACATCACCACAAGATAGAACAGAGGGTTACATATGGCGACATAGCGGTCATAGGCCATCATTACCAGGAGGAAACATTCTGTGGTTGCACTGGATCCAAAAACATAATACTGGGCCATGCATTCAAAGAGAGAAATCTTTTTCCCATTGTCTAAGATGTTGACAAGCATCCTGGGAGTCACAGAGGATGAAGTACAGGCATCAGCAAAGGCTAGACTTCCAAGGAAAAGGTACATAGGAGTATGAAGATGGGGGTCCTTCCAGATGAGAAAGATTAAGCCAAGGTTGCCCACCATGGTGATGACATAGATAAAGAAGAACACCAGGAACAGGGGGACTTGCAGCTCTGCACGATCTGTTATTCCTCTGAGAACAAACTCAGTCAGCTGGGTCCTATTCACCTCCATAACATATCCTCAGGCTACTCACTGCAAGGAGATTTAGATGTAGAAATTATGACCAAGATTCAAACAAGGTGAAGTTGATATCAGTATCATATTTTCCTCTCTCGGATGATCATTAATCTACCCATATGAGTATGAATATTTCTGTTTTTTCAAATACACCTAAAATACGAAGATTCTTAGAATGATTTTGAGGTAAAGCAAATTTTAATATGTTTTTATGAGAAATATTAAGGAACAGCCTAAAGACACCAATAAAGTTTTAGAGTATATCATAATCACTCTAAGTTGCATAGATAGCTGTAACAATTCATACACAAGAATGGAAATTATTCTGTGCATTATGCACTGCGGTTACTTTAAACAAAAATGATAAAAATACAAAGTTGCATAATCAATTTCTCAACCATTTCTTACATTCTTTATACTGAATAACAAAAACAGAAAGAATTTTAGTTTTAATAATATATATCATTAATTTTTTACTAAGTCAAAAAAGATAACAAATCAAACTCTTCAGATAAATATTTTTTATTTCCACTATAAAATTATATTGACCAGTCATTGATTCATTTAGGAAACTAATTATTTGGTATGTTCTATATTATGACACTGTCATTCTTAGCTTATGACATAGAATCAATAACTGAGATGATATAGCCAAGTAATTGAAACAGATATTGAAAGAGGAAACACACATGCTCACTCATACACTAGTGATTTGTTTGCCTATTAAAGATCAATACAAGAACTGTCCTTACACTTGCCATTTCCAAAAAGTATGCAGCTGGCAATACATGTTAATAGTTAAATTACACATGCTTCTAAGGAGATTGTAACAATGTGTCAGTTGCTCCTATGATAGTACAAAGGTTGTTGTCAAAGTTAGAATATACCATTACAAAAAAGCCACAATCCTTAAACAAATAACTTCATGCAAATAAGGAATGTTGTGTGGGAAAAACTGTCTTCTATAGGGAAGAATGTACTAATTGATTATCCAATACTAATGGTCAGTGCTAAATATATATGTATGTGTGTGTGCATTATATAGACTAATAAAGTTATTTTATGTGACTATGTATATGAATATATTCATATTTAAAAAACTAGGAGTGTGTGTGTGTGTGTGTGTGTGTGTGTGTGTGTGTGTGTGTGTGTGTGTGTGTATAACAACAACTAAAGGAAAAGAAACCATGAATTGGGAAGAGAGCAAGGATGGGGAATATGTAAGAGAAGTCGAAAAGAGGAAGTGGAAAACTAATGTAACAATAATCTCAAAAATAAAATTAAATGTATAATAAAGAAATAAGCCACAGTAGGCAGAATTCCCAATGTGATCATTGTGTGTATTCCATTTAAGTGTCCAAATATTAAATTTTACTTTAAATATAAAATCAGATGAGGAAAACATGATGAGGCAAATTCATAGGAAATATCTATGACAAAGGTAAACAAAGCAAAATAAATTCTCAAAAAATGTTTGAAAGTTTCACAAACTGGAAAACAATGAGAAGGATAGATTCTGTTGAAACTTGGGTTTAGGAAAGGGATTTCAAGTCAGCATCATCACAGTTTATCATTTAGTCAATGTTACATTATACATTATTATTAGCAGAAATTATACTTCTTATACTCAAATTCTTGAGTTGCTGATCTACACTAGAAGTTGGTCATTTAAAAACAATAGACTTAAGTGTCTAACTTCATGAGAATGGGGGAAATTCTTGGATTCACAAATCCCTAGTTTTTACAAAAAGACCAGGTGTCTGGATGATATACCTACCTATATTTTTGCTTCTATATCACATTGATAAGTTCTTTATGAACTTAGCTAAATACTCCATACCATAGTCTGTGGTTACCAAAAACTGATTTTCAAAAAACCTGTGCTTTCTAACTGCCCAACTCAAACATACAATGTGGAAATATTAATAAAAATAAGGCCTGAAGAGAATAATCTTGAGACAGTAGAAGTATATGGACGTGCTAAAGTATGTTTTCTAAAACAAACAAGTTATACTGTAGAAATTATTACTTTCCTTTTTGCAGAGAATTTGGGACACAATTTTTGTTTGGGGTTTGATTGACCGTGACAGTATGTTAACAGAGGAGCTAAAGATGAGTCTACTAATTATTTGGTATTCTACACTAAATCTCCAAAGGCATCATTATCCTTATTTAATACTGTCTGAGAATTCAGCAGTGAAACTGACTCCTTAGATACCTGATCTCATCCTTTCTACATATTTCTGGGAATGCTATCTAAACCATGAACCAAGTGAGGACAAAGTGACTATCCTAAGAAGTCACACACTTCTGTGGTTCTTAGAAGATGGGAAAATCTTTCTGATACAGGAAGATTCACAAAATCAGTATCAGAATACACTTACTTAGTAAAATATCCAGCATATTGACTCTATAGCATTATTGTATGGGAGTCTTTTTTTAAATTTCAAAGTCTTTTTGTCTCAAATAACTCAGTTATCTATCATAATCCAACTTGTGAATCTTGTTTTAAATTTTTCTCTTCAATGTTTTGGCTTCACCAAGAAATATACCCTTAACAATCTGTAAGTCTATGGTTTTTACTGATGCCAATAAGCATTATAGCAAATATGCTAAACATAGAGTTCTTCACACACCCACATGATTGAGTTCAAATTTCTAGTCTAAAAATACCTAAGTGTATGTATAAGGATTAAGAGGATCAGGCAAGATATTTCCAGTTTTTTCTAATCAGTACTGCTTTCTTTTCCATTTTGTAGATAAATACTCTCACTAGAGACATACCCTGTATATCAGCAATTTTAAGAAATAACTCTTAGTATTAAAATATTCTGCTTTAAAAATAATTGCATCCAAATAAAATACTGTATCCTCACCTAGTTCCTATAAGGAGATGTATGGATTCGGATGCCATGAGATGTAAATTATCATGCTGAACTCTTAAGGTGAAGAAAGAAAATAGCATAGGCAATTGTTCTCCTCATGTTTATTTTCCTTAAGACTTTGGATTGAATGATTTTTTTCACATCTTAAACGCTACTTGTAAGGTTAGCACTGAAATTCCCTCAATGCTACTAAGAGAATCTCAGTAGAATAGCCAGTCCCCAGACAGCATGCAAAATTTAAGAAGTCTCTATGAGAAAAACTATTATAACAATTGTTTCCACATATCTTCTTTTGAAAACAAAAGCATTACAATTTAATGATAATAAAACATGTATTCCACTGAGATTCTTCAGGTATTTTATATGTAACTCACTTTCCAACTGCATTTGACTTAGGATAACACAACTGACAAGAAGTTCTGGCAGACTGTGGGGGAAAGGGAACCCTCATTTACTATTGATGAAATTGAAAACTTGCCCAGCTTGTGTAAAACTAGACATATGGAGTTCAAATGAAAATTTTCCATCTAGGATTTTAATGCTCCCTCTAAGAGCTAAAGAGCATCTAACAAAATCCCCAATGCCAGGCATACAAATCCTTTATTTGAGTTGTCGTTCACAGTTTTCAAAACATTTTCCAAAACACTATAGGATATTGTTGTTTCTATTGATTGCACCCTAGAGATAAATGGTAAGCCCCTATCACTTCAGACACCATGTCTGAGCTAGAACAGTCCTGAAAGCCTCCTCCCTGAGAACAGGCTTTCATTTACCAAAAGGTGCCTTTCCAGCTTCAAAAGGAGCGAAGCAAATAACATTTCTACCTGGTTATGATTCTTATGAATCACAGCAATGACATGACACAATAACCCCAAGCATGCAGTAGTAGTATTCATATCTTGGCAATGCCCAACATTTCTCTAATTGGACTTAAGATGTACTCAACAGTAGGGAAACCATGCTTGACACTGTAAACCTATCTAAATACCCAGGGCTAGTGAAGTGATCTTGAAGGAGAACCTACAGCTACCACTTTACTAAACCAGCATAACACCTAATTAAACTCTAAATATTTGTCAGCATGCACATAGATAAATATAGTCTTCATCCTTCATCAAGGAAACTTCTCTTTATAACAGACAGAGACCATCACAGAAAACCACAACCAGTCAAAATATAACTGTGGTGTCCAGCCAATATCTCTATAAAACATACCCCCACCTAACACTCAGGCAACACTGTGGAAGAGGAGTCCAAAAGAGTGTGAAAACAGCGTATCAGGGAGTATTCTATGAGAATGTGTCTCAGAAGTTACACCCATAAAGACTCACCAAAATGGCTGCCAAGCATGAACCAAACAAGGACAACAGGCATTTTGAAGGAGATGAAGGAAAGCCCATGAGACCTCAACCCTGGGCAAGTAAGGAATGCTGAGGGTGGGTGAAATGCTCTTCCCCATTAATATCAATTCATGAGAAAAGGCCATGAATTTGATTAAAAGCAAAGAAAAGTATATAGGAGGGCTTGGAGGAAGGAAAGGAAGGGGTAAATGATATAATTAATTTCAAAGTAAAAGTCAGCAAAAATGCAAAGTTCAAAACATGAATATTTTCAAAAGTTTAATAAAAAACTTTGTGTTTATTTTTATTATTAATTAAATGTATTCACTTACTTTACATACCAATGAATGAGTCTAAAAGGGTAACAGAGATCACACCTTTAATCTCAGCACTAGAGAGATATAAAAAATAGGAGCAGGATCTTCAGTAGTCAGTCAGAGGAGTCTCTAGGCATGTTGAGGAGAACATATCAGTCTGAGTGAATCTGAGGAGCAGTGAAGTAGGGAGCATTTTGAGGATCATTCCTTTGGTCTGAGCTGAGGTAGAGGTAAGAGCTAGTGGCTGCCTGCTTTGCTTTTGTGATTTTCAGTTTGAAGCTTGAACTCTAATATCTGTCTCTGGGTCATTTATTTATTAGGAGATCAAGGGAATATAAATTAGAAAGGAAGAAATCAAAGTAGTATCAATATCATAGTATAAATAAGCAACCCCAAATTTTTTACCAGGGAACTCATACAGCTGATAAACACCTTCACCAATGTGGCTAGAT